GCTCACTGGCCTGGCGTCAGGAGTGGCGCTCGAACGGGACTGGGTGATTGTGGTGAGTGTGTGTTCGTGAGCGTGAGAGGAGTGTGAGAGTTGACACCGTGGCTGTGAGCATGGGTGTGAGTGCGGGCAAGAGGGTCTGTGATTTGTTGTGCTGCTGGTGGTGGCTGGCGCTGTTGAGGGGCGCACTGGCCTGGGCCCTGGAGTGGCGTTTGATAGGGACTGGGTGATCGTGGTGAGCGTGAGTGTGAGTTCGAGTGCGAGTGTGAGTGTGAAACCTGTCGGTTTTTTTTTCTCTTCCCCGTCTCGTTACACCTGTTGTACCCGTTCCGCAGCTCAATTCGTACCCACTTCTCTTCCCTCATCCCTTCCTTTCCTCCTCTTCCCTTGTCCCTTTGACCTTGTTGTGTCCGTGTCCCAGCTGGCTGGTCAGGATCGACCCGTGGCTCTGGCCAATGCCAACGCCATGCTGAGGAGGTGGATTTGTGCTGCGAGGTGAGGGGGGTGGGTATTTTGTGAGCTAACAGTCTGTTTCCGCAGTGCACATCAAGGGTGGTGGCTCTGGCCAATGCCAACGCCATGCTGAGCAGGGTAGACCTTTGTTGTGAGGTGAGGGGGAGTGGGTGGGTGTTCATTGAGGTAGCAATCGGTTTTGGGTTGTGATTGGACTGTGGCTCTGGCCAATGCCAACGCCATGCTGAGGAGGGTGGGCTTGTGCTGCGAGGTGAGGGGGGTAGAGTGTAGGTGGCTCTACAGTCGATAGACTGAGCATGGCATTGGCATTGTCTATTAGCTGTTCTTAAGCTCTGCTCTGCCCAACGCCAATGCCAATGCCAATGCCAATGCCAATGCCATGCTCAGGCCCAGGGAGGTGGGTCTGTGGTGTGAGGTGAGGGGGGATGGGTTGCATCGTCGAGCAAGAAATCCGATTTCATGTGGTGGTGCAACAACATATAAGGATGCCTCTGCCCTGGCCGTGGCTTGTTGATGCTCCCTCAACCTCGTGTATTCCCTGTTTGCCAGTCCTTCTCTCTCCATTCTCTCGGCTCACTTTCTTGTGCCCGCTCTCTTTTCTTCCTCCTCTCCTTTTGCCACTCCCTTCCCTCTTCCGCTTCAGGTAGCAGCACCACTCATCTTTGGCTGGCTTATTGTTGCCTTTGGCCCACTGATTTGTGCCAGAGCATGTGTTGCCCTCGTTGCTCTCTCCCTCCCTGCCCTGGTACGTCTCTGTTTCCTGCCCTGGTATGTCGTTTGCTCCTTTTACCATCTGATTTTTAGGTGTAATAATCACTTCAACCCAAAGTACCCCTCATCGTTCTCTTGCTTTCTGCACTGGTATGCTTTCTGCTGTCTGCCTTTGCCTCTGACTCTTGAGGCCTCCCTTCCTCTCTTCCTGTTGCCCTCCTCTTCTCCCCTTCACCCCCTCCCCCCAGCTCGCCCTCACCACGCTCACCAACCGCCTCTCCTACGGAGCACCCAGCAGACCTCGGCCTATCAAGGAACAGTGCACGTGATTGAAGAAGTGTTTTGAGACGTCTCAAAACACTTCTTCAATCACGAGACCTCGGCCTATGAAGGAACAGTGCTTTAGGTTTGTTAACACAGCGTTTCACCTCTCTCCTCCCCCCTCCTTTTCACCTCACCCCTCCCCTTCACCCCCCCAGCTCGCCCTCACCATGCTCACCAACCGCCTCTCCCACGGAGCTCTCAGCAGACCTCGACCTGAGAAGTCTGAGAATGATTGCCAAAGCGGAGATAAGACTTCAAACGAGTGTAATGGGAATGTTCCCATGACTGATCTAAAGTCGAAGCAGCATAAGCCCTCCGCGTCCCCCGCATCGTCCTCACTACTCCACTCCTATGAGGGGTCCTATGAGGGGTCCTATGAGGGGTCCTATGAGGGGTCCTATGAGGGGTCCTATGAGGGGTCCTATGCACTTCACTCCTTCTCCCCTCCATCCTCGCCCCTCCTCCCCCTTCTCGCCTCGTCTGCTTTCGGCAGCAGCGCTCCAGCTACAGGAGTAGCACCTTCCTTGGCACTATGCTGCCACTGCTCGTCCTTGCACCCTGTTCCCGGGTCACACGGGCCACACACATTGTACCGTTCATGCTTGCTTCCCGGGCCTGTGCCGCAGAGTGCTGCGATGACATCACTGGGTTTAGCTGCAATGACAGCACATTCACATACAGCCGATCACAGGCACACGCTGCCACGCGCGTGCAGCGCTGGTCGCGATTGCGGTGCTGCTGCTGCCGCCCCTGCTGCCACTGCCACTGCCCCTGCTGCTGCTGCTGGTCCCGCCGCTGCTGCCCCCGCCGCTGCTCCTGCTGTTACTGTTGCTGCAGATGGTGATGGGAAAGCGCTGGATAAAGCATTGGAGGGGTTGGGGAGAGTGACCAAGACAGCAGGAAAAGCACTCAATACAGCAGCAGCCGGGGTGGGGAAAGTGGCAGAGGCAGCAGGGAAGGGGTGGCGGTGCTACGTGCAGCAGGCTGTGATGCCAGCCAGTGCGGCCTACGTGCTGCTCTTCTTCAATGCTGTGCTGTCTCCCGGGGCCTCCTTACGTCGTTCCTGTCGCAGCATGGTAAGTACACTGGTTGTGTTGTATGCTGTTGTTCCCACACTCATGGTGAGTGCATGCCCGCCAGTGCGGCCTACGTGCTGCTCTTCTTCTATGCTGTGCTGTCATCGGGGGCCTTCTCATGTCGTTCTCAACATGGTAAGAATCTGTCTGTCATGCCCAGTCATCTCATCTCGAGTCATGCCCAGTCATCTCATCTCGAGTCATGCCCAGTCATCTCATCTCGAGTCATGCCCAGTCATCTCATCTCGAGTCATGCCCAGTCTTTAATGAAGATTTGTCTCAAACTGGCTCTCTCGATAACACTCTAAGCTAGCGCACACCCAGGCTCCTTCCACCATCACTTCATGGAGTTTGTTTCGTTGGTCTAGTACAACACGAGATTGATGGAAGTAAGGCCTTTGCAGCCCACCTGTCCTCTCTTGACAGCTTCTCACGTCAATCCTGTCGCAACATGGTAAGAATCTGTCTGTCATGCCCAGTCATCTCATCTCGAGTCATGCCTACGTGCAGCAGGCTGTGATGCCCGCCAGTGCCGCCTACGTGCTGCTCTTCTTCAATGCAGTGCTGTCACCAGGGGGGCTTCTGACATCTTTCCTCTCCCAACACGGTAAAAATCTGCCTGCCTCGTCTGCTAGTTACGCCTTGTCATGCCCGCCAGTGCGGCCTATGAGTTGCTCTTCCTCAATGCTGTTCTCTCGCCTGGACGGATCCTCACCTCTTTTCTGTCACAGCATGGTGAGTATCCTCCTGCCTAGTCATCCCTTCCCATGCCTACATGCCTGCAGCAGGCTGTGCTGCCCGCCAGTGTAGCCTACGTGCTGCTCTTTTTCAATGCTGTTCTCTCGCCTGGAGGGCTCCTCACATCCTTCCTCTCGCAACACGGTGAGTGTTCAAGGGAGTCATCATGCCTACCCATGCCTACGTGCACCAGGCTGTCTGTCATGCCCGCCAGTGCAGCCTACGTGCTGCTCTTCCTCAATGCAGTGCTTTCGCCCGGGGGAGTGCTCACATCCTCCCTTCCTTCCGTTCCTTCCCTTCCCCGTTTCCCCTTCCCCGTGTCAGTGATAGGGGCGTTCAGGGGTGCCTCTGCCGCGACGTCTCATTATCTCTTTCTCCCCTCTGCCGCCTCCTCTCTCCCCTCTCCCTGTCTTCCCACACGCACACTACCACGCGTGCAGATTTTAGGGGCGTTGAAGGGCGCCTTATACCCTCCCTTCCTTTTCCACTCACATATTAATCCCCCTCTTCCTTTCCCCCTTCCTTTCCCCCTTTCCCCAACTACCAGGCGTGCAGATGTCAGTGATAGGGGCCTTCAGGGGCGCCTGTGCTGCCACGGGATTTGCCGCCACCTTTGTTTCGCCACCGCTCGTGGCACGTCTGGGTGTGCTACAGGTGCGGTGCGATGCAGTGCGGTTCTAGAAGGGTGCAGGGCTGTGCTGTAGCGGTGCAGTGAGAAGGGAATGACTGTGCTGCCATGGGCTTTGAGGCCACCTTAGTTTCGCCACTGCTCGTGGCACGTCTGGGTGCGCTACAGGTATTGTAGTGCAGTGGGGTGCTCTGCAGTGCAGAGTGGTGCAGTGTGGTGCAGTGCGGGGCCATGGGTTGTGGCGGGGTGCTGTGTGGTACAATGGTGTGCAGTGGGAGGCGAATGGACTGTTCATGCTGGCAGTGCTGCTCTCTTCTTCCATGCATCCCTCCCTCCCCACCCTCGCATCTTTGCCCTTCTCCCTCTCTCACACACGCTCCCACACCCCCCCAGTCCCATCACTCCCCCAGTCCATCACTCCCCCAGTCCCATCACTCCCCAGTCCCATCACTCCCCCAGTCCCATCACTCCCCCAGTCCCATCACTCCCCAGTCCCATCACTCCCCCAGTCCCATCACTCCCCCAGTCCCATCACTCCCCAGTCCCATCACTCCCCCAGTCCCATCACTCCCCCAGTCCCATCACTCCCCAGTCCCATCACTCCCCCAGTCCCATCACTCCCTCCTTATCCACCTCTCCCTTGCCCACTCGTCATTCCAAGATGTCCCGCACAGTTGCCATCGTCTCATCTCTCTCGCACACGTGCACATGCACTCTCCTGCTTTTTACTCCCCCGTTCCCCTTTCATCCCATCAGGCTGGCAGTGCTGCACTTGTCTTCCAAGCCCTTCTCCTCTCCTGGACGTTGCAGGGAGTTCTTGAGAATTCTCAAAAACTCCCTGGCAGTGCTGCGCTTGTCTTCCAAGCCCTTCTCCTCTCCTGGCCCCCGTAACCCGCTCACATTCACACACGCACTTTTCTCTTACTTCCCCTCCCCCCGAACCCCCTCTCCACCCCAGGCTGGCAGTGCTGCTCTTGTCTTCCAAGCTCTCCTCCTTGCCCTCGCAGTGGGAATCTTCTCCTCTCTCTCACACTGCCCTCCGGTGCTGCAGCAGGGGCTGATGCTACTCTTCCTCTTGCTCGTCGTGAGTCTCTCTCTCACACACGCCCTATCTCACTCGCTCAAACACATTCTCTCTCACACACACACCCTCTCTCACCCAACACACTTTGTTTCACGAGTATGACGTCTCTCATGCTGCCCTCCAGTGCTGCAGCATGGGATGCTGCTGCTCTTCCTCCTGCTAGCTGTGGGTCCACTCTCTCTCTGCTCAATCCTTCACTCTCGCACATACACTCCCTCGCGCTGACCTTCAGTGCTGCAGCAGGGTGCTCAATCTTTATTATTATTGTTACTATTATTATTATTATTCCTTTTTTTATTTTCAACAGATTCACTCTCACACATGCATGCTGCCCTTCAGTGCTACAGCAGGGGGCTCTCAGCATCTTGTATGCTTGCTCTCGCCCCTCATTTCCCCTCATCACCCCTCGTCACGTCTCATCACCTCTCACACCTGCTCCATTCCCGACCCATGTTCCCTCCAGGTGCTCTTTCGAGTGGGCCACTGGACATTTGAGATCATCACCTGTCATCATCTCTCATCACCTCTCATGACCCTCTCATAACCTCTCATAACCTCTCGCAACCTCTCATTACCCTCTTATCCTCCAGGTGCTTTCCCGAGTGGGCCATTGGACGTTTGAAATCGTCGACTCTCAGATCATCCAAACAGCCATCCCCCCCGCCTCGGCCAATCTCATCGGAACCACCGAAATCGCCCTCGCCAGCCTGGCGGAGCTACTAATGCTAGGAATCGCCATAGTCGTTCACGATCCTAAGCACTTTGCGGCTCTCGCTGCCATGTCCATGGCGGCTGTTTTTGCTGCGGCTGGGGTTTACTGCTCCTGGCTGGCTCGGCCCGACCCGAGGATTCAGAAGCTGTTCCCGAACCAGCCGGAGGTTCGGTGGGGAGAGGTGTTTGGGAGGTGGGGGAACGGAGGGGGGAGGAAGTGAGGTGCGTGTGTGGCTGGGATATTGAGATGGAGATGTGTTGAGAAGGGAAGAGCTGTTGATTGGTGGATGTGCTGCTGCTGGCGCCGGACCTGTTTGGTCCGGAGGTCAAGTGCTTGCCGAGCCTGAGCTTCGGATCACACTGGTTCGAAGGTGAGAAAAGGCTCGGGGAGCAGCGGTGAGCTGTCGACTGTTGAGTCGGCTCAAAAGCTATTGGTGCCTGCTGGTGTGGGACGTGACTGCTGCTGTAGGTGTCTGCTGGTGTGACTGACGCTGCTGCTGTCTGCTGGTGTGAGAGTGACACTGTGAGCTGGTTTGGAGATCTTGGTGGTGTGACCGAAGCTATTCGGTCTGGCTGAGAGGTCTGGGGACTGCGGGCTGCTGTTTGGTGTGCAGATTGAGTTGCCGGTCCTGCTGGTGTAACAACGGCAGCAGCAGTTGCAGAGGCAACAACAGCAGCAGCTGTAACGGCAGCAGCAGCACCAGCAGTAACGGCAACAGCAGTGGCAGCAATGGCGACAGCGATAGCAGCAGCTATGTCAACAGCAGCAGTAGTATCATTACAACAACAGAAGCAGCGGCGGCGGCAACAGCAGTAGCATCGAAACAGAAGTAGCAGCAGCCGCAAAAGCAACAGCAGCAGCAGTGGCAACAAGAAGCTTTAGTAGCAGCACCAGCACCAGCACCAGCAACAAGAGAAGCAACAGCAACAGATGAAGCAGCATCAGCATTGGAACGACAGCAGTGTCATCAATCAGCAAGCATAGATACATCACTTGCAAATATTGCAGCATCAGCAGTAGCAGAAGCAAGAGACACAACAGCATTAACAGCAATGGCAGCGCAAACATCGACAACACGAGCAGCATCAACACAGCAGGCATGCAAGGGAAATTGCAGCACTGATCGAAGTCCTTTGATTTGAAGCAAATGGAGCAAACAGTACCAAGCACAAGTCCTTAGCTGCAAGCCAGCATGACTGCTACAAGCAGCTTCCCAACATAGAAGCCCAGCTGTTGCTGGTGGGCACCACTCATGCCATTTCTGCCATGTCAGGTTTGTATTGACATCGGATGTAAGGAAGCAACAGCGCCTATGTCTGTGATACATTGGCTGGTCAATACTGGTACTGTTGTATTTGCAACTGGGGAGGAAAGGCGCTGGTACATGGGTTTTGAGAAGCAGAAGACTTTGACTCGAAGATTTCGAATAACATGCTTGGTAAACCAGCTACCAAAGATCAATTCCCCAGGGTTTAGCCTCGAAATCACTCAGGAAATGCCAGGCACACAACTAAGCAGGTGATGCCCAGGTTGCATTACAGATGGATTAGTTATGTTGGACTTGCAGGCACTGTACTTACTATACGTGGTTCAATATCAAAACTGCGGCTAGCTGGACTGCGATAGGTCTCAACCAACCTCCCAACCAATCTGGTCACGTTTGGTCATAAAACAAGAGTGGCTGGCTGCTAGCTTCGACCAAGCAAGCACCTTTACTCAGCCCCCAACCGAGGCAACCAATCAGCCACGACGCGGCGCCGCCGTTCTTTCTCCCCCAAAACAACCAAAGCAGTCAGATTCATGCTTTCGGCTTGGTTTGGTTTGAAGGTGTTTGGATTTGGTCGGGATTTACGGGCAGAGCAACTCGAACCTGATCGTGTTACGTCCAAAATTAGATTCTTCACACGACACCCAATTTTTTCTCAAGTGAGACTGGCAATTTTCAAAATACTGTATGGGGCAAATGGGGAACAAACCCATAATCGAGGTGGTAGGTTCACCCAACCACAGGTTCAACCCAGCTTGCAACGTCATTCGTGGTTGAGATGAGGAAACGCCTAGCCATTCACCTTCGAAAATCCCTGGTCTCAACAATTCACCCTTAATGGTAGAATTGCGCGACAAGCCGACGTTTTTTAATCCTATTGACCAAGATCGCACCGCAAGTAGGGCGACCGAATCCCTCCCAGCTGAATCGATCTACATGCGCGTACGCGATATTGACAACCAATTCAATTATAGCACTGGTGGGTTTTCTAGTTACTGTTCGCATGGGATAATGTTTGCCAGGTGGTTTTCCGTGTTTTCGTAAAAAAACAAGGTCGCAACTGTGGCTACATTGCCGTGACCTTACAAGTTGGGTTTTTAGTTTATTGAGAAGCACTAGTGGACAAAATTCTCTCCGAAGGCACTGTTAGCGCTACTAGGGACTAGTTCCGTGGATTTCCAACATGAGAGGTTCACATTATTGCGCTCGTTAGGAAATCCAACACCGATTGGTCAAAACGGTTAACAAACAGACGATGATCGTTGTATAGAGGTCGCCGTCCATGTCGACCGGTCGACTTCACTTTTTCAGGCAAAAAATAATATACCCTCTTAGGTGGTATGCCATTTAGGAAGTCATCAACCCTAAACACCATGCGGTAAGGTGTATAGGGTTTATGCATTCCCATCGATGCATTTTTGGGAGGACTCAACCCTAAGCATGGGATCCCTTTCTGGTTAGGGTATATAGTTGTCCAGACGTATTTTTGGGAGGGATCAACCCTAAACTTGCCGCATATTGTTTAGGATTGATACATCCCTGAACAAATTTTGTGTCATTTTTCTACCATCACGTTTGGAGTTCCTAACCAGCATAATACTAAACGTGCTCATATTAAAAGTGCGTGTTATATTCTCCGGTAGCGCCAACAGAACCTTCGGAGCAAATTTGTCCGGTAGTACTTTCGATAAATTTACAAGTTTCAGCTGTTTTGTCTGTTCTGATGGCGCAAAAATGTTCGGCCATTTTCATGTGCTTGCAACTTAGTCGGGAAAAACAGCTCACGTGCATGCTATCCCGTCGCACTTCTCCATTTATTGCACTCCTCGTACACATCCGCTACTAAAAACACTGTTATGTCAGGAGATGCAAAACGTGTAACACAAGCAGCACATGCAACACATAAATCGGCCTGGCAGAGAAGCCCGCAAAGATAAAATACAACTCTTGGGGAACATGGACATTGTTAGGAATAGATCAATCCTAAATATGGGAACAATTGTGGTGTTTAGGGTTGATGTTCTATAAGGCAGTAAAAATAAAAAGTAATAATAAAAATAACTTGGGAGCCTGGACTCGTTTTTTTAGAAGATATCAACTTTAAAGCAGGGAACTGCCCTGGTGTTTGGGGTTGATTCCTCTCGAGTCTTATGCGTTTCCAATTGGGTTTTATTTGTTTTTTTCCGTTTTTAGTCATGCCTATTGCGATATATATTGACCTTGTTCGCAGTAACGCTACAACTGGCGTGGTTGGATGACGAGTTCGTGCGAGAGCTGCACCAGTTGGCGTCAGTCGCATGGGTAGCACCCCCTTGCAGAACAACAATTGTCATGGCAGAGGTGTAGAAACAATAACAACAGGGGGAGAAACACGACGGGATAGCATGCACATGAGGAGCTTTTCCCGACCCTGTTCCATGCACCTGAAAATGGCCGAAAAAGGTTTCGTACGTGTGTCACATTTTTTTTCTACATACTTATTTTTATTGTCGTGTGTCAATCGCAAAACTTTGAAACATCTAAGGAGCTCTGAATTTAAGCAGGGGCTCAAAATAAATTAACCTCTAAAGGCTGGGATACAATTCGGGACACATCAACCCTAAACATGTGAAGCATAGTGTTTAGGGTTAATTTCTTAAATGTGGTGCAATTCGGGAGGGATCAACCCTAAACACAGGAACTATCAAGGTGCTTAGTTCATTTTACACCTTATAAAACACCAGACCAAATAAAAATAGCTTAATATAAGCCTTCTCTGTTCGACCAGACTGAAGTGACGTAACACGTTGCAAATTTTGTCTTTAATGAAATGATCGAAACCACAAGCTGTAATCACGTTATTCTGGCTGTAAAACCAAATGGCACCTGTAACGTCAACGTTCCATCGTTCGGAGCATGGAATAAACGGGGAGAAGCATGTAGGTCGATCCATTTGGACGAGGTTTTGTCGCCCTACCTGCGGTGCGAGCCTCGTCGATGAGAGTAAGAAAAGTTTAAGCGCTGGCACGTCGCGCGATTTTTCCTCAGACTGCTCGAGGCTCTAGCTACGCAGGGTTTAGGCCCAGTCACATCCATACCTGGTTCTTCTAGAACCAGTGACCGAGCCTGCCTGGTCTCGTAACAACAGCGGCTCAGGCCCGGTAAGCACCACTTCCAACCAATGGTACAAGCAGGACGGCGTGGCAAGCCAAATCTCTGGCCTAATCCCGAACCGTAATGTCCAAACGAGCCGCTCACCAAAGCTGGACTTCGAAATCTGTCCTCATTGAACACCCCACATGGGAATTGGGATTCAAGCTCCTGGCTACACAATCTACAAATTCTATAAATTGCACTTCCAATTCCATATGCACGACAGACATTGCTTCTCGATTTTCCTGACAGAATCTACATCCTACTTCCAAGGGTGAGGTTTTCCCACACAGCCAGCATGAGGACTTCCGTTCTCCTCAGCGCGCTTGTTCTGCTCGCCGCTGTGTTCGTCGATGCTAATGCCGTCCCTGGTAAGGATTTTTATTCCCATGGATTTCGTGAACTAGTTGAAGTGCTGATTGCGCAATAGTTTCTACATCAACTTAGACTAACTTCACAGGACTTATACTCTCGCAGAAGATGTATCAACGATCATAGAGGAAGTCGAGCGCGTCCTGAAGGAGGAAACCCCTGGACCGTCGTGCATGGAGGAGTTCAAGAAAAGCCGCAAGGAGTGCGTGAGGGATCACATGTGCGCAACGGACGAGTGCAAGGAGAAGACCGACCGCTGCATCGCCAAGGCGTACAAGCGCTTTAAGATCTGCAAGTTCCCCCCGAAGAAGCCGGCGCCCCAGCCGCCGAGTTGCAAGAAGCTGTGCAAGATGCTTTACAACAACTGCAAGAAGGAGAACAAGGGCAGCTGCGGGATGAAGTACAACAACTGCATTATGAACAACTGCTCTTAGTGGGTGTCGCCGCGCATTTTCGACACCACTTGAATTTCGGGACCTCGTGATGGGAATAACGAGTTTGGGAAAGGCCCGTTGCACTGTGGTATCAACAAGATTTTTGCAAGGGTTGGGAAAGGGGAGATTTTCTTGTGGGGTGGGACTTAAGATGTTGGGTTTGGACTCAAAAAAATGCATGTAAGGAGGGAGATACCAGGTCACATGTGTTCTCAATTTTCTACTGGATGTAGGGGGCTGTAGGTCTGCTGGTTTACAAATATAATATGAAAGGTTTCAGGAATGTGAACAATTTCGTTGAGCAGATAGCTTTTGGAGCCGCATAGCACGACCTACCAATGTGATAGTGAAGTAAAATATGGGGCACCATGTGATTCAAAATATAATTGAGAGTAGGCGGTGTAAGCTAATTTCGGACTGCCTTCTTGTTACATTGAAGTAAGCTTGACAGATAATCGGGTGTACGGAGTGGTGCGAAAGTCGAGTCTGGTTCTGGCCTCTGTGTTACTTCTGTCCTTTCGAAATTCTCCTGACCACACAATGCTGGTCAAGTACCGTCAAGTGTCTGAGCTGACCTCGAGGTTCGACCTCCAAAGCGCTATGGCGCTAAATACAGTTTCACAGCTTTTTGCAGGGAAAACATTTGCGGGCACGAGTTGATGAGTGTCCAAATGTTCGGTGTAGATAGATTTCCCCTTCACAGGCGGAATCATGGGTGTATCAACACGAACCTTCTCCTCTACCACGCTTGAAATATTATGATATCACCCTGATTGCATGTCTTGTCAGGTGCCCTCTCATGTCGAGTGCAACAATTCCACCTCAAGTTGTCATCTTGCTCTTGTTCCCTTCAATCCCAACAACCCCTTTTGACCCCCTTCCAGATCATACAATGTCTGACCACAACCCCTAACCTGGTTCCTATGGCACCACAGACCTTCCGAACCAGTCTTCCAGGTTGTCTCATCGCTTGGTAGGGGCCAGGCCGGGGAAGCTGCACTTCAGGCCAATCGGCCCAAGCGGCGGAGCTCCCAAGCCAGAACCTTGCCCGAAAACGGAACTAGAATGTCCAAACGAGCCGCTAACCAAAGCTGGCCGTAAAAAAGCGGGCGTTCCCGTTTCCGCATTTCCTCCCACGGATTTCAGCCCCCAGCAGCAGCATTTCGGTACGAAATAAATTCCAGGCCAACTTATTCATTAACAGGAAATACCACCACTAGTTGATCACCAGTGACCATAGAACAGTCTGAGAGTTCTCGCCTGCAGGCAGTATGAAGACTTCCGCCCTCCTCTGCGGGCTTGTCCTGCTCTCCGTTCTGCTCCTCGCTGTTGACGCTATACCAGCTGGTAAGTTTACATAGACCCTCTTTGGGGAAATAAAGTCCTTACTATTCAGCGAGGCTCCTTTGCAAGCAATGCTTACACACTTTTTCTGCCAAGTCACGAATACCGTCGTGTCTTCGCGTGCAGAACGTGTCCCTTCTTTGGGGAACAGGCGTGTTCTGAGCCGTGACGACTCGTCGTGCCTGGGCAAATTCAAGAAAAGTCAGTCGAATTGCAGGAGGGATCATAAGTGCTGCGACCATAGCGACTCGTCGTACGACAGCTACGAGTGCACGCGGAAGACTGACAGGTGCGAGGCGAAGGCGTACAAGAAATTCAAAACTTGCAAATACGGTGACAAGAAGCCGTCGTCTAGCTGCAACGACTGGTGCAAGTACGTCAAGAAGCAGTGCAGGGACGACCACGATGACGAGTGTGACTACAAGTACAAGCGCTGCAAGAACGATTGCTGAATAGAACATGTAAGACTTCTTTGGAGGGCCTTCTATTGCTGGTTGTAGCTGTGTGATGACAGGATGAGCATTTGGATGTGATGTGGTGAGTGGTAATAAAAAATTTGTTTGATTGGGCATAATCTAGTTGTTGCATTGGTGTGATGGCTTGCATGTTGTACACAACACTATCAGTCGAATAGAAATGTGACTGTTTTGTGAGTTTGAACGAGGAGGATAACGTAATCAGACAGTTTGTTGTAAGTGGCCATTGGAACATTTTGCTTCCCTTTCTACTTTTAAATATGAGAAAGGCAGTATCGAAGATGAGTATATCGCACCTGCAAGCCGAGCCGCTAACCTTCCGCCGTCAACAGAGAAGCCTCCCCCCCCATTGATTTTTTACTGTACTTCAATTCCATCCATGGGTCTGCCAAGCCAAAGCCACTTTCAGCCAGTGGCGCGCGCCGTCTTTTGAACAAAGCGGCCAGCTTTGATCCCGAGCTTTTTCAAGCCCAGGTTTGGTGGGAGGTTGGGGAGGAGAGAAGCTGATAGAATTTCAGAGCAGATACACCTATTGTGGCCGAAGCTACACACGAGCCTAGAAGTTATGGGTCACAAGTCCAGGTCTCTTTACCGAACGTGAGAGATCATCCGAACCGCCACCAGGCTGCCGCATGTGTCGCCACGCAATCGCTTCATCGAATTTGCCTCAAATCTTGCCAACACCACAATTAGCCCCTACCGAACCTCCCCCTTCGCGAATCTCCCCCCTTCACCAGAATCACCCCATCCCACCATACAACTAGAAAAATCTGCCCCCGATTGCCTTTAAATCAGCAGCAACTCTCCAAAAGTCACACATTCGACCAGCTTTTCATTAGTCATCGAGAATTCGGCCATCGCCTGTGCCCCGTCAGTTGTGTCAGCTTTCGGCGTTTGCCAGCATGAGGACTTTCGCGTTCCTCTCCGGGTTGGTTCTGCTATCCGCACTACTGCTCGCCGTAACCTCGGCGCCTGTTGCGGAGGCGAACGCAGTTTCCGCGCCCGATACCGCTCCTGCTGTCGCTGGTAAGCATCTCTCGCCGAAGTATGCGGTACAATGTAACCTACCGACGCTTTGGCGTGCAGAAAATACAGGGGTAGAAAAATCTGTTTATGGTTACGCACTGTGTCCATCCGTGGGAAAATCGACTTCATGATCCGTCCATGTTTTGTATTTCTATGTATTCTAACAAGCCTCCTTATCTTTGGTTGCAGAGCTTCTCCCTGCTCTGGAGAGCGATAGGCGCATTCTCCACGACGACGACGACGACGACGACGAGCCGTCGTGCCTGGACAAGTACAAGAAGCGGTATGCGCAGTGCGAGAAGAACGAGAAGAAATGCGAGGATAAGGCGGAAGACGAAGACGACGAAAAGGTGTGCGAAAAGAAGTCCAAGACTTGCGAAGCGAAGGCGTACAGGAGCTATAAGTCGTGCAAGTACGGCAAGTGGGGCTGCAAGGACTGGTGCAAATATTACAAGCGCAAGTGCTACTCCAAGAAGAAGAGCAACTGCGAGGAGAAGTACGAAGACTGCAAAGAGGACTGCTAGATGCTCGTGTTCTTTGCTCACTCACAATCCGCTGAAGGTCCAGATCGCGAATCTGAATCAAGGACTCCTGGGATTCACTCTAAATTTATGGGTTACAAATGTGACTGGTCGTTTGGTTTGGTAGGAAGATTTGAGTGTGGGTGGGTATCTGGATGGGGGACGGGGAATCTCTGGTCACGGGGGAGGAGCTATCGGAGCTTGGTAACAGGATGCTGCACCGAATGTAACGTTGAGAGGTGAATAAACATGGGTTCTTTGCATTCACTTGTGTGGGAAGCTACCAGCATTCCCTGTCGATTATCGTGGACGATCCACGTAACCTTTCTCACCCTTGCCCGCTCGCGCTCTTCCCGTAGTAGAATGCAGCAGGCCTATTGACCCTATCAAGAAGGGCTCGTCTTTAGACTTCCAAGCCGCGGCGCCACACTCAACGCGCGGTGTGGGCCGGAAATCCCGTCCAAATTGAAACATCCACCCCAGCCAATGCGTTGCGGACATTAGCGAGAAGGTTTTTCACTGGGAAGATTTTTCACTGCCCGCTGGGTAGATTGCGCCGCGGTGTCTCCACATCGCTGCCGCCTCCTCTGAGAGAGACTGAGACTATCTACTACACTGAGCGCCGCTGCGCATATTGAGCGAGAAAGCTGCCGTCCTGGCAGCGCTACTACACTCGGTCGTATCGTACTTTCTCACCAAACCCTCAAGCACGACCTAGTTCCCGTTTCACTGCTTTTTTATTTCCTCCCCCATTTCCGAGGCATGGCGGATTGATACCGTACTCTCCTCCACCTTTCGTAGAGCTCGTGGACTGGCACTAGGAGTTACCAGATCCACATTGACCAGCTGGGCGCAGTGTAGTGAAACGCACTACCAAGTGTTGTGAATGGCACGCTACTATGCCACTCCAACCCCTTCCCCTCAAAACACCCTCAAGAATCCATTTTCCTAATAATCCATCCAAACCACTCAACTCCTCCAAAGCCCATTCCAACCAACCAAGTTACAAACTTCCTTTTCCAACTCACCTTCTCCAACTCAAGCCTATCAACCACCTCTTGAGATACTCCCAACCACCATAGCCATTCCTAATCCAACTCATCTAAGACTTCAACCAAAATTCATATTCACCTCCAAGTCCCACCATAAGGCACACGGCTCCTCATGATTTTCCATGTGCTTTCATTCCTTACCAAATATTATCCAAGTCATCTACCTCCTCCAATATTCCTCCCTCCATGTGCTTTCAAGCACATGCTTCTAATTCCTAGTCATCAACCTCCACCAGGGCCTCAGATTGGTTTTGGGCTAGGATGAACAATCAGAGTTTGGTACAAAAAAGTATGCTGAAAATCATATAAATTAGCCATTTTATGCCATTTTACACGATAAAATTCATAGTTTTCCTGTTTTTTTTCCAAAAAATTGCTGAAAAATCAGCCCTGGTTCTAAACGAAGTCTGAAATCTCAGCCTTTTTTACCTAAATCAGCATTTTTTCGCTGACTTCTGAGGCCCTGACCTCCACATGCCTCTTATTTATTCCTTCCGTCCTTCCTTTCCTAAGTCACCAAAGTTGCCAACTTATCCCTCAAAGACTTCATGATTATCCCATCACCTCCTATTCCAAGGCAACAAATCTCATCTTCTCCTCCACTCATCCTTATCCAACTCACTAAGCTCTCTTCCAACTCAACAAGGCTTACATCTCTAACTCACCAAGTGCTCAACCACCACTACATGCTGCAATACTATTCATCTACATCAAGCATCTCTACAACTTCTCAAGAAAGCTCTTCAATGACAACAATGCCTCTCAAGCTTCTTCATCAAGCTCCTCTCCAAGCTCATTCCAAGCTTCTCCTTCAAGCTCCTCTTCAACTACAAAGGCTCTTCACTAACAACCAAGTTTCTATGTCTCCGAAGTTGCTACTTTCATGCTACTCTCTTCCAAGGCTACCATTGATGGTTACTCTCTGTATGCATGCCTATGTATCCCTCATGGATCTATAAGGCTTGTACTATACTCTCTTTAATATAATTTTATGCTCATAAGGCTCTCTCTCACATAGTTTACAAAGTAGTTATCAAGTGAAAAGTAGTCTACCTCATACTTCTTAAGAGTATAAGGAAGCTACAAGCTCAAAGGAGGATCATCATCCAACCCAAGGCTTGAAGTCACTCCCAAGTAAACCATACAAGTTCAAGTTCTTCTTTCAAGTTACTTCTACAACTATCCCTAGTAAGATTCACTCAAGCAAGCGTTTATCACCGCTCTTATTCTCTCAACGAGCTCACAATCTTCTTCTCTTCTAAGTTCTTATCTCATCAAGCATTTCATCTTACACAAATTTCTCTTTATTGTCTCAAGTTCTAAGCATCATCTTCTCTTCCATCAAGCTCATCTACATATGCTACAGTTCCACTGTTTACTCTTGTCTTATTCTAGTGTGCAATCATACTCTTTTGTCTTTATCTCAATTCCCTACACCAAGTACCCGTGTAGGATGATGTTGAGTCAAACCCCAGATTAACTTTCAGACAAACGCCTGCCTCACCCTACAATTGTGGTTTTTTGTATTGTACAATCCAAGATTGGTCGTTTGGTCAACATTCAAATGATTGGTTGTACATGCGTCAGAAAAAAAGAAACCTCTGCTACTGGGGTCCACAGGATACAGTAACTGTGCTGGATGGGATGATACCGCTAAGATTCAGGCAGCCTTGTTTCACTTCACATCATGCGCAGCTCATAGTCCAGCCATTGTGATGTACCACACCCACGGCAATTCTTGGTAACCGCTCTTCTCAATGATCTTGAGACAATGCACCTGGATGGATGCACAAAGTTTCACAATATAAAGGGGATAGGTTGCGATGACAGAGAACGAGATGAGCATGAGAAAAAGATCCTGATTGGGAGGTAGGAAGAGACATTGAAATAATCCACCAAGTGTTTGACAATTATGATTCCTCTGGCAGAGAGGCTCCTTTTTTCCATTCAAAGCCTAGCCCAGTGCCTCCAATTCACACCTCACTGACATGCTAGCCCTTCCCATCACACTTGAACACTTGGCCCTACTATGCTAACCTGAATGCCAAAGGTTGTGATGAAGTAACCAAGCCCCCAGGCAACATAACAGGTGACATTACAGTTAGCACGAGCTGCCGATTCACGTGAACACCTGACAGACACCCTTGCTGTCAAAATGTGTTAGCTGTCTAGTCTACTGTGGGGTACTCTATAGTGAGTACAGCCCTATAAGGGTTTGCTATATGTATCCCGTTGCTTGCTAGTGAAAGGCCCTCTTTCTGTTTCAACTTTGTGCCTACTATCTTGACATGCTGTCAGAGCAGGTCGACCCTCTCTGGTCGATCCTGTGGATGGGCCCACCGTTAGCTTCCACTGCTGTTCTCTCAGTCGCGCGCCCTGGGCGCGTGACCATTTCCTGCTTGTCGCGCGCAATAGGGCGCGCGGCGGTTTTCTGCTCGGCGCGCTGCCCCCGTCGAACCGCGCGCTGCCCCCGTCGATCCGCGAGTCGCCACAAGGGACCCGCGGGCGTTGCTCCGTCGACCCGCGCGCCACCCCGTGGGACCCGCGCGCGCTGCTCCGTTGATCCGCGCGTCGCCCCAAGGGACCCGCGCGCGCTGCTCTGTGAACCCACGTGCGCTGCCCTATGGACCCGCGCGCCGTCCCTTGCCCTCGTGCGCCGCGGGGCAGCTTCTTTCCCGCCCCCTCCCTCCCCCCCCCCTCCGCCTCCCCTTCTCCTTCCTCTCCCTTCTGCGCGTGCAGCCGTGGGGTGGAGGGTATGGGGGTGGCGGGTATAGGGGTGGTGGGTGTGTGAGCCGTCCCTTGCTCCTCCTCCTCCTCCGTCTCCCACTACTGCAGCTGCCGTTGAGGGGGGTGGGTGTGTGGGAGCCGAGGGAGTGGCGCTAGGGGGGTGTCGTGGGAGTGGAGCTAGGGGTGCAGCAAGGGGTGCGTGAAAGGGGTGTGGGACAGTTGGGGGAGGTTGAACGGAGGTAGCCGTCGTGACGTCAGCAGCGCCGGTAGTCTGGGGGTCACCCTTGCCCCGGTAGCCCAGCGAGCCTGCTGCGCTAGTCGCCCGTGGGTCCGTTGCTCCAGCCGCTCATCTTAGCCGCGGAGCCAGTGACTCCAGTAGTCCGGATACCCTTGCTTGTGTCCGGTAGCCCGTGCTCGCCGCTCCTGTTGCCCGAGTGTCTGCGGCTTCACCAGTCGCCTCCTATCTCCACTCCTCTCACAGTCCCTCCTCCTCCTCACTTGCCCTCTGTGACTGCCTCTAGTTTTGCTTGTGCTTGTGAACTTCTTATGCGACTGCTTGTTGTGCTAAACATACCCCACTTTGCCTATGGGGGTCTCTCAAAATGTGTTATTTGTCTAGTCTGCAGTGGGGTACTCTATAGTGAGTACAACCCAACTAGGGTTTGCTATATGTATCCCATTGCTTGCTAATCAAAGGCCCTCTTTCTGTTTCAAGTTTGTGCCTACTATCTTGACACTTGCTTCTCACCTGAATGCCAGAGACTGTGAAGTAGGGTATCTCGAATTTCACGTGGATTGGAGCTTTCTTCTCTGCCACGTCATCCACTGCTGCCACACTGGGCAGGCTGAAACGTGCTTGCAGCAGGTACTCATGAAGAGGGTTCAACGTAAACGGTGAAGCGCAAAGTGGGATAACATAGGTATGCAAGGATTTGGAAACATGTGAGTGCATAGTTTGGGGACACCAATAATCCCATCCTCTGCTACCACGCTGGGAAGGCTGATACAGGCTCGCAGCAGGTACTCTTGAGGTGGGGTTAAATGTAGAATGATGAAGCCATAGATGTGATCACACACAAGGGTGTGCAAGGGATTCATTACACGGGGGAGCAAGCTTTGAGGACATCTTTGTACTCATCCTCAACTGCCACACTGGGCAGGCTGAAAGGCACTCGCAGCAGGTACTCGTGATGGGTATGAGATAAACAAGGAAGGCAACACCCA